AATATCAATTAGCCTACGACATCAATGCATGGTTTTCAGTCAAACCATGCATCCACCACAACCCCGAGTGATGGAATTTGAAATATTAAGATTCACAAATATCACAATTTAACGAGGAAACATTACTAATAATTAATACTTTTTTTCAAACACAAACTCTTCTGCTTAAATAGAAATGAAAAAGAATTTTTTTTTCCCTCCGCATATTGTAGGGTGTCCACCATCGATAATAGTGACTAATCCTCACTCATCGTATGCACCTCGATCAGTGACGGAATCAAGGGGGGTCAGGGAGGTCGATCGACCTCTCTCCCCCCTCCCCCCGCGCGACCGGCCGGATTTGGCTGGATTTTTTCTTAGTAGGAAGTCCTTTAACTGAACTTTTTCAATTTGTCCCTTCACTAACAGTTGAATAATCATATTTTCGACCCATGCATTTTGAAAGTTATTGTTCTGTCACTGACCTCGATGGGTGGGAGAAAAATCTTTTAATATGCTTCTAAGGGATTGAAAATTTCTTTTTCACTTTAAGATTAAATGAAAGAAATACAATATTCATGCAAGATAGATTAAAAAAAAGAACAGACAGTGGTTATTCAAGAATTAACTAACTTATCGGATCATTTTGCCTGAAAACCACATAAATTTAATCGCAAAAATTTCAGATTAATACCTACGAAAAATGAGTGCACTACTCAGTTTAGTCAACCTTCACATGCATCAATAAATCTTCAACAAAAACTATCATGTCTAACACAATGAGTAAATCTATAACTCTTTGGTTCAAATTTTATAAAATATAATAAATTATAAACTAAATGAAAAAAGAAAAAGCACAATTACGGCACTTCACTTCAGCTATGAATTGATTACTAATTGATCACATCCATACACAGATTGACAAATTAATTTCAAAGCCCACGAAACACAGTTTGTGAATTGCATGAAACAAAAAGCGAATGTAATTGGAAAATTTTAAATAAATAATTTTTAGAACATCTGTGAACTGAGATGGTATTCTTCAGTTTCATTTTTCAAACTTCTTTTTTTTGTTGTGGCTCAAAAAGAAAAAAAGACGGTATTCTTCACCTGGAGATTCTCAATAATGAACTAAATTTCCTTGCTGCATGCAACAAAAGGATCGAATTTTGCTACTTGATCAAAAATCTTTTTCCAGTTGGAGATAAAGAACTTCTGGCCTTTTTGTCCTCTAGGGAGTCTGTAATTGACCAAAAAGAGGCGACGAAAAAGAATATAGCAGATTGTTCATTGTATCATATAAGTTGGGATACTTCGCTTTATATCTTGAGGTAGGGGCTAATTTGAATGAAATATTTTAGGAATAAATTTTTGTTTTTAAAAAGAGTTATGATTTGAAAAAAAAAATATTTATATCAATAGGGATTTGATTTTATAAGATTATCACACATGTTATTAAAGGATAGAAGATGCCTCGTGATTATCGCATCCATCTTTTTAGCAAAAAAACCTAATTTATGAATAAATTCAAAACTTGAGTATAACTATTGAATTTCATCAGAATATGATCTCCATTTTAACGGTATAGACGTGCATAAATTTTGGGAGGATAATTTGAGATTTGATTAAAGAAATTGGAAGTAGTTTTTGTTCCTTCGTTTGTTTTTTTAACTGAAGTTATAATTCTTTTATCTTTTTCAATAAATCAAAAAATAGAGAAAAAAATGTCAGTCTTACGTAGTAAGTGAAAAATTATTTCAGTTTCTTCTCTCTGAATTTTCTATTATTAAGTTATATTGATAGATAGATTGCTTTAACAAATATCATAACATTAACCAGGAACAAATTTAGGAATGCAAAACGAGGGGCCAGGATGTTACAAATCCTAGAAAGAGATGTGATTACCATTTTACCACTACAAATATTTTAATATTGTGTGTATAATTCAAAAGCTTAAATGATGGAGCGTAGAACACACTTGACTTATTTGATTAGTTGTCAAAGATTTTCAAAAGGTATTATGACCAAAGAATGACAAGGATGAGTTTCCTTTCGTTTTTGACTTTTGATAACATTTGTATAGTTTATTGTTGACGTTTAATGATCTACTCGAAAGTAACTACTGATTGTTTTACCTTAATATGAGGGTATTGCTAAATGCAGTTTTATTTTACTTCACGCAACTTGTTAAATAGATTAAAATATTCCTATTAAGCTGCGCGAAGTAAATCAAAGTGTGAGAAATAAAATGAAGCTGCATGTTTTTTTTTTTTTTGGGAAATGATCACACCAAAAAAAACAATCGTACCAAAATCGCCAATTACACCAAAAGAAACGAAAAAATCGCACCAAAAAGAAAAAAAAAACAATCACCCATTTTGTGAAGAAAAAAAAAATCATCGGTCACCGATTATATCAAAGTCCGAAAATTTAGCCAAAAAATTTCACAAGAAAAAAAAATAAAAACAAAATAAAATCCCCAGAAAACACATAACACCAAAGTTCCCCCATCACACAAGAACACAAAAAAAAAAAAAGATAAAATTCGCCCTAAAAATTAACTCACTTTCTCGGCTTTCGGGTGTTTTTAGGTCCATTGACATTACAAAAACATCAACAATCGGTGAATTTTTTATTATATATTAAAACAATATGGTGAAGTTGTAAAAAGACATTATTCTAAAAAGAAATTTGAGAAGATTTAGAGTTCATGGGTATTTTAGTCTATTTCACAAGCTGTATGAAGTAAAATTAAGTAGCTTTTAGCAATTCACTAATATGAAAAAAAAAAAAAAAGAATATGTACGATTGACCAACTTTAATGTACGTTAGATATTCTAAAATGTCATTTGGTTTGTGAAAACAATAAAATTACTCTCTCCGTTCGAAATAATTATCATGTTTAAACTTTAAAATTTTACTTTTAGTATAAAATATATTAAAAAAATTTAAACTATATAATCATTTTGAGATGGAGTGAATATGATTTTTTGCTATCATATATTCATCTTATCTATCAATTACAATTTTGTGGTGCAACGGATACATATTATTAATTATTTTTTCCTCGAATGTTACTTTGCAAAACTTTTTCCTCGACTTAGATTCCATTTTCAAGGATCAATTTGAGAATTTCAAGGTACTTTGTAACTCAAACTGAACTCTACACTCGCATTATTATATATTTATATCTAATAAAATCAACGAAGTCAAACTCTCTCACACGTAATCTTGCCCTTAACGTTTCTTCCATGAAAAAATTCTTCATCAATGGCGCTAAACACAAACCCCTTCGTAAGAAATGGGGGAAAAAAAAAAGATAATTACACTACTGACAAACATTTCTTGGACCAAAATCCCAGAATAATTTTTATTAAAAAAATTGCTTAAAATAAAACAAGCATTTTGACAACCAAAAATTTGCTGGCTTCTTTACCTATTTGTCTTAATTAAGTAGCCCCTTCAAGATCAAGCAATCGGATTCCATAAAAACCTAATAAAATCTCCTAAACTGATCAACCAAATTCATCCACAACCAAAGAGCAAAACATACACAGAAAAAGTAAAGCTCATTTGCCATATTAGCTAGCAATGGAAAGAGTTGGGGTTTTGCTCTTCTCTTTTCTAGCCTTGGCAGTGAGTTTGCAAGTCGGTTTTTTGCGGGCGGCGGTGACGCTACCGCCGGAGGATGAGCTGTTGGATCGACATTTCTACAAGAAGCCTAATGGGACGTGCCCAAATGTGGATGATTTTGTTAGGCATCAGGTCACTTTGTTTTGGATGCAGGATAGGAGCATCACTGCCAAGCTGTTTAAGCTGCTCTATGCTGACTGCATGGTCAATGTACATATCCTCTCTTCTTTGTTTTTCTTTTGTATCCGAAAATATATATATATATATATATATATATATATATATATGGTTATCTCGTCCCAAACTAAAATTCTTGTTTGTTTTACAATTTGAATCACCAAAAAGGAATTATAGGGAGTAGTAGTGAAATGTTGGTTTAATTGAATGCAGGGATGTGATGCATCAATTCTACTTGACGGGAAAAATACAGAGAAAAAATCACCACTAAATGCAGGTCTAGGAGAGAAGATATTCATACTCATTGACAAAATCAAAACAGTAGTGGAGCAACGATGCCCTGGAGTTGTCTCTTGTGCCGATATCCTCAACCTTGCTACCAGAGATGCCGCTCATCTGGTAACATAATTTACTTCCGTCTCATTTTAATAGCCCGCTTTGCAGTGATTTAAAATCATAACCCTTTTAGAGTTCCTTTCTAGGTTCACACTGTTTAAAAAGAAAACTGACTTTATTCTACTGGTTGAATGAACAGGCAGGGGCACCATCATACCCAGTGTTCTTGGGAAGAAGGGATGGATTTGGGTCAAGTGCTGCATGGGTTGACTACCCTCACCTTCAAGTTCTTGGGCAACAGTTCAGAACTATGCTATTTCGAAAGGACTCGATCAGCAGGATCTGGTTACTCTCCTAGGTGAAATAAATGGAGATATCCTCAATTTATATTCCATTCTTTAACTCAAAAGGTTCAACAAATCCCCAAGAAGACTGAAATGTTATAACTTACGTTTTGGTGTGTATACTACAGGTGCACACACAATGGGGACAACACACTGTCAATACATCCGGGATCGCCTGTACAACTTCAACAATACAGGCAAACCAGACCCCAAGATGGACAAATCTTTACTAAAAATTTTGAGAAACCAATGCCCTCAAACGACAACTAAAGGAACAAACGATCCTGTGGTCTATTTGAACCCTAAAAATGGTCCCAAGTACGAATTCACCAACAACTATTACAAGGGAGTGAAATCATATAAAGCTGTCCTGGGGATTGATCAACAACAAATGTGGGGAAACTATTCATTTGTTGATGCATATGCAAAATCTTTTGAAGCATTCCGCCAAGAGTTTGCTTTGTCAATAAGCAGGATGGGTGGCTTGAAAGTTTTGACCGGGACCAATGGCGAAATCCGCAAAAATTGCCGGGTTACAAATAGAAACAATCCAAGCATCAAGTAGGTTCTACTCATCATAAGTTTTGTAAGCTGCTTTGTTTATTCGAGCAAATGTCTAAGAAATAAAGAGGTTCCAACAATAAGATATGAAAGGTCTCCTACTCAAGTATCCCAATCTATTAATAAGATAAAAAAGAGAATTTTGTACTACTAACACTCAGGGGGCAACTGTTTATATCAACTGCTTTTCATTGATTTCAATAAATATTTCTTCAAATGTCAGCCTTACATAAGATGCTGATACAAAATGGAGCTCTCCAATATATATGTCAGAAAAATAAAACTATGTCCTACTAACCGGCAAGAAGCTTCTGGATAAAGCCCAAACCAAGGCAAGCAAGCTTTTCACTCGTAAGGACCTGGATGAAACAAAGAAATACATGAGAACTCCAATGACGATCGGGTCAAAGTGAGCTGTAAGCGTAAAGAGAAAATACAAGGAAAGGCTTCAAAACCAAAAGCTGCAACGTAATTAATTAAAAAATAGTACACAAATTCACAAAACTAGATTACTAAAGTTGATCAACAAGCGAAATCAACAATACCGTTGTTTGCTTTCTGTCTGAACTTGAGTACATCACAGTATTAATTAGAAGTATAACCTCAATTAATGCCCATGACATAATGCGGAATGCAGATGCTGTGTCTTTAATATGAGAGGCATCAGGACCATGAAAAGGAAATAAAACAAAGCGGAAATTTAGCAAATATGCCAGAAATCACACTGAGATGAGTGTTTCTTCTTAAAATATTATAAGATCAATGGGCATGAGTCACAAAAATTATCACTCCATTCAAATTCCAGAATGGAAAAACATATTTATAACTGCTCTACCAACCAAGGCAACAAATCTGGAGATAAAACAATGAAATCTCCCCAGTGACCAGTTATGTCAAGTGAACATAATCAACAGCTAAAGTAACTCTGTAACTTGGAGTTAAAAAACCTAAAAGCAGCAGCACAGTTTATTTCAAAATGGCAAGGTTTGAGGAAGAAGTGTGGAACAAACAGGGATACCTTTCGAGTAGAGGTGAAACAGGCTTGGGAAACCAGAGAAGTGAACCTTCAACTACCAGAGGCACTTCGCCTAAAACTCTTCGAAAGAAACTTTTTCTGTAAAGCGATTGGCAAACCAAAGGAACTGGAATCTTCTACAACCAGTATCAAGTCAAAGTGCTATCAGCTATGACTAAGTTCTGTCACCAAATTCTACGTCAAAAAAGACAAAATTCTAATCAACACTTCGAGCTGCTGGGCTCCCAGTCTTGATCAACTGTTCCAAACAATCAAATACAGAATCAAACACCTATCCACTTTCTCATCAAGTAGATAATAGTACTTTTATCCTAACTCACAACAGAAGTAAAAAAAAATTTGTTTTTTTTAATCACATAAGAAACATATATGTGCTTTTTAAAATTCATAGCATGAAGGATAAAACCAAGAAACATAGGAAACATGACACTTTATCAATTTGAAACCCCCTCTAAAAAAAATTAAATTAAATTAAAAAAAATTTTAAAAATTAAAAAGTTGCTGCAAGCGATATGCTTATCCTGAAGGCATAACAAAACATGAAAGTAGTACAAGAACAATGGTAAACAAAGATTCATAAGATAAAGGACCTTGTAGAAGTATTTCTTCCGCAGTTTGATGGCTGTACGTATACATCTCTTCACCCTGATCTTTAGCAAATTGTCATTAAATATCTGTAACACAATGAACACAAATGATTAGTTTACAGCTGGGGAGATTTGCCAGCAACCTCGCAAGATGAAACAGTTAAACATTCGTAGTTACTAAAAGCACGTAATCAGACAAAACCTGATACATATAGATGACAAGAAGAAATGATAGGGAGGTGATGACAAAAGTTGGAGAAGTAACACCAAACCATCACGTTTGAGAAATCATATGTCAAAGATGCAAGCCTCTAAACAAGCTACTGAAAATGTGAACATGGACAACTGACAACATATGCAAACTAGATTATTAAGAAAATTCTGCTCACAAAAGTACCCACATTCCATTGAGAACAAAGAGGAACATGCCAAATTCGGAAAACCAGAGCAGAAAAGAGGGAAAAATCTAAAGATGCAAAATTTGACGCCTTTTGAGTTAAAAACAATTACACATAAGTACAAGCATAATCCACTTGCCTTTATCAAATCATCAATCGAATGTGTTTCCCTAATAATTTTCTGCCGGTTCATAATAAGAATTGCTGCCACACAAAAAACAGGTAATTCATCATCACTGTTCCCCATAGCTGCCAATGCAGAGCCAACATGGAAGCGATCATTTCTGGACCAAAAAGTTTTTGCCAAGCCACAAAAAGGATGAGTCGATGCAGACTTCAACCCTGTGTTGTCAGACACGGAGTGCTCGAGATTCCCCTTTTTGTATGATGAACCACCCTTCAAAGCACTAGGATTGTTCTCAATACTTTCTTGCTCAATTTCTGCTTCAGAGTCCCTAGGAACCTGTATGACTAACAGCTCTGGGCAATTTTCCTCTAGATGACAAGCCAAAGATTCATCAAAATCAGCCGCCCACATCATCTGCATTTTTAACAGAAACGTGAACAGGTGCCCAAGAGCATTTAACATGGTGATGCCATGATAACTTAATCAATGCAGGGCAACCACATTGACCAAAAACAATGAATCAGCTTAAATCCAATAAGTACACTTCCTAATGGGAATGTGTTGATGCATCACGTGGAACAAGTTTCTCCACCTAACGCTCCGTATGATGGAATTCTTTCTTTTTTTTTTCAATTTATATGATCCATCTAAGAGGGAAGTAGAATAGATCATCAAGATTGGAGACAGCCATCATTACAAGGGTAAATATACATCTTATTATGAAGAGACATCCTCACACTAAAGAATACAAATTGGATAGTAAACATCCCAAGATTCCTAAATATGGCTGTTACTACGTCTGTGAATAATAGCAGATTATTTATGTTAACCACAGCAAACAAATGAATTTTCAGCCAAACATCTATTAACCACTTACATATTATATCAGCTACACCCACACTAATAGGGTGTTCATGCTAAAATTGACAAAAAATTACCATTGACTAGTCATAGCTTCTGGTTCAGGTGTTCAACTATATAATGTCGTCAACACTCTATCAAACAGCTTCTTAGATAAAGCAGCAAAGGGTTAGCCAGGATTTAAAATATGGCTAGTTATGGTAATCAGAGAGGATGGCAAAAGAATAACCAGAAAATACAACAGCTGTTGCAGTCTTTGTCTTATTCGCCAAGAAAAACAACCATTAAAGCTTGCCAAGCCTTTTCATTTAAAAAGTAAAACTTCAAGTTAGTAAGGACCACGCGCCTTTAACAGGCGTAGTGCATATACTTTGAACCTATAAGACCTTAGACACATACAATACACTTAATAACTTAGAGCAACATATATCCATACAATATAGTGTACACACACCACTTAAGGATTCATAACTATTAGGACTTCCAGTTCAACAAGAAAAACAACCAGTAAAGCTTGCCAAGCCTTTTCATTTAAAAAGTAAAACTTCAAGTTAGTAAGGACCACGCGCCTTTAACGGGCGTAGAGCATATACTTTGAACCCTATAAGACCTTAGACGCTTACAATACACTTAATAACTTAGTGCAACATATATCCATACAATATAGTCTACACACACCACTTAAGGATTCATAACTATTAGGACTTCCAGTTCACCATCCATAAAATGCCACACCATACTTTTGCATCTAAGGCAATAAAAATCCAGTTCACGAATAGTTAAGCCCAAACCTCCCACATGGATAGTACGTCAGTGAAAGATAATTCCCGCCTAAAGAGCACCAGCAGCATACGGAATGCAAAATGCAGGCTCTCAGCACCTATGACAGAAAGATGGGAGAACATTTCTCTGTCTGTAAGCTCCAAAATATGCCACAGCGCTTGCAACTGCTTGATGACACCAGTTGGCCCTTCCATTTGAAAGTTTTCACGCTGAACAAACAGACTCCATAAGAGAAAAAAACCAAAATCAAAATCATAAAATCGATGAAAACAGAAACATGAATACAAACCATTCTCCGTAAAAGCATCTCAAAGCACCAAAAAGCATCTGCATTATCCTCAAAGAGAACAACAAAAGGAGAAAGCAAATCACTCATTCCTGCAACGAAATTTCATTAAGGATTAGATCAAGTTCATGTCAAGAACAAAATAAAAGCCCAAAAAGTGCACCATTGCAATATTTACAACTTGGCAAAGGATAAGGGATACAAACCTTGGCAATATCCTGTTCTAGGATCGACCCATGCATAGACAGCAAGAATATCAGACATTCGAGCCAAGTTTTTGGTGTCCTCATAAAATTCAAGATGACTATCGGTTCGCACTACATCAACAACTAAAAGAAGATGGAAATAGAAAACTCATAAACAAATACATCATCCACACAAATTTTGCTCTGCAAAAGGAAATTGCATTTTTCAGCAGTAATAAAAAACTCTGTTTGAGTTGTCACCAAGACCTCACCTATTTGGTGCAGTGTCCAAAGCCATTCAGACACTCTGTCTTCACTCCCAGTCCCTGCTTGAGAAGAGGGAATGTTCAGAGGAGTTTCTGGTACCTCAGATATTTCTTGCCTGTTAAGCATCTCAGTTTCATGTGCTAAACTCCCAGACCATGAAACAGGATTTTGCCTCTCCGCTAAAGCCACTTCAGTCTCAGAATTTGACCTACGTAAGATGTCATTAGGTGCAGAATTGCTTGATTCAAAAACCAGATCTTCATTATTACTAATTCGAAAACTGTGCATGTGCTCATCACCAAATCTCAATCTGCGGCGAGTGGAGAGGCCGTCATCAAGTGACCAGCGTGCTTTCTTATCTTTCTTTCGCTTCTCAAATAAATCGGTTACAGGTAAGGGAGGAAAATCAAAATAACTCTCAGATGGAAAATTTGACTCATAAGCTTCATTTTCAAGTTTCGTGGAACTGCACTTAAAAGTGCTGGAAGTAGGTGATGCAGGTGGAAAACCGGAAGAGTCGTATGCGGCACCATTAGTGCTCCCTCTAACTCTTAAAAGGTCACCAGAGTCACTAGAACTATCCCTTTTACATGCACAAGATGTATCTATACATTTATTACTCCCATTTGTGTAATTGCTAAGTTTTCTAGTATCAACATCAGAAGTTTGTCTACTTTGACTTTCCAATTCCCTTATCCCCTCGTCTTTGGAATTGGTTCTCATGTCCATGACCTTGGAACCCACAACATATGCAAGAGAACCAGTTCCTACGCTTGAATGCATCATTTGGCATTGTTTGATGAGGTCTCTATACCGTTCCCTGCATGTACATCCACTAAATTTGTTCAACGTCTGGTGGAACAGATTGTGAAGGAAAGAGAAAATTAATTGATAGGTATTAGTCAACTAAGCCTTAGACAAAATTTACATGCCATTTAATAGACATGCACAAGCTTACCATAAGGATGAGAGAACAATGAAGTAGAGTCTACCATCAGCACAAATTGAATCAGAGAACAACACAAAAGTATTGAGAAATTAGTGTGTTGAGATAAAGAACTTTCAATTATGACCAAAACCATGTTGATTTTCTTACAACCTGGCAGAAATATAGTCACCAAATGGTTCACGATACTTTCAATAGATTGTACGAGAATTACATACACAGAATAAAAAAGGGGGAAAAAAGGTTGTATGTGAACTACATCAGTAATACAATTTACAATCACATATAAAACTTGAACGTTATTCCGCATGAGCAATCCCTGCAACTCCAAATATGTTTCACAAATTGGCTCTCCTTAGATTCCTCGACCTCAAACTATCAACTTCCTAGCAAAGACAAATGTATATGACAAAACAGAAGTTTTCTACCAAGAAGCCAAACAGAGTCTGCTTCTTTATTTCTTCTTTTTCAGACTTGGCAAAGATAAGTATGAGAAATTTCGCTTTTACACCGGTGACATTTTTCTTTCATTAGAATTAGTATATAATCTACTTCTTCTTCTACAAATTGTTTTAAATGCATAATGATCACATGGTTAGCCCACCGGCTACGTATTTTCAAGAGACATAGGTCCCAACTTTCTTTGTACCCATTTTGAAAAATTTGGGCAGCAAGGAAAGAAATGCCTACTTTCTAGGGGAAACTGAAAGAAAACTATGAATTGAGAATCTCAAACCGGATTTCAGACACCAGGGAGTACAAAAATATATTCTGAGCTAGACAGGACATATCATCTTTTACAAGGGTAGAAAAAATCAACATCTACAACTTAGCCTCCATCACACTGAGTGAAGTCAGGCAAAGCACAAATGAAGTACAAAACATCCAAGACGCTTGATCAACAAAGCAAATCATCATTTACTTCCTTGGTTTTCTAGGTGGAGTTTTTTATATCATGCTAAACTATATCTCCAAATTTAACCAAGTAGATAGCCTCTTGCAGCACATATGTCAAACAACACTGGCAATACACAAGCAATAATAGAGTACCATATATGTTACAGATCTTGTTAGATCCTCACATAGCTGCGGCAATTCAATTTTTATTTCATATTCTCAGCAACAAAAACATTTGGCCTTCCGAATTTATATCCATTCCTAATTTGTTGGGGAAAGCATAATAGAGAAACTTTTCAAGTATAATTCTGTTCACATGAGTCATTCAAACGAGCCACAACTTCAAATACATCACCCACTTACCATTCCAGATATTAACATGTTCATTGTTTTTAGACTAATAAAAAAGATAGCCACAGATATGCACAAGGAGCAACAGAACCAGTCAATTAAAAGTAACTCCACCAAAATAGTCAACTACAGCACCTCCTGGCATTCCTCAATTGCCTACGATACTCAGCGGTGCTGCTCAAAGCATAACAACCCAGCAGAAACTCCCACACTTGAGGCCTTATCGATGGATCAACACCCTACCATAGTAAAATAAAAAATTGTAAAATATGCAGTACCACATTTCTTCTCTAAAGAAAACCTCATGGCTTTTTAAGTAAAAGAAAATTTGAATACATAGAAGCACTATAACATAAACCCGCCCACATATGCAGCTCCTTACTCAAAATAGGGAGAGAGAGAGAGAGAGAGAGAGAGAGAGAGAGAGAGAGAGAGAGCATTAGGCATAAAACATTCTGACAAAAGAAAAAAAAAAGTCATACCCCTAAAATAATCAATTTCAGTACTTTCTGAAAACCAAAAACCTTCCCATCACTATCAAAAGTAGCCTGCCACTTCTCGGGCTTAAGCATTTTGTTTATCTGCAACAAAAAAGATCTTCATCACAAAACAAAACAAAAACCATATCTTGATTTAAAAATCAGACAAGTCTAGATCATAATCAATCTCTTGATTTAAAAATGAAAACCATGTTCCAACCATATCAATTATTACATTTGCCCACTACCCAGAGGAACCAATAAATTATCAGGACTCTCACCAATTGCCACTGGACTTGCCAGAATTGCAAAATGTTTAGCCTAAACATGGAAGGTTCTTACAAGTGAACAAAATTCAGAATCACGAATTCTCTTTTCTTTTACATACGTAGACACGTATATGAAAAATTGAAATGAAAGAACTGCGAAAATGTATCTAAAGCCAAATAAAGTGGTTCCAGTTGTAACTGTTGACAGCAAAATGGCATATGAAACAAGTTGTTTTTTTCAGCTTTAATGAATGATTTCCCCTTCCCTGGACATCCTCTTTTTTCTCCCGACCAATAGCACCAATGAGACCAGTGGCACCTCTCACATCTAGTCTGCCTCATTCATAATGGCTTACTCTTAATAGGAACAGTAACAATATCACTCAATGTCTACTAGTAGCTTCCTCTCTCCCTCTCTAGAGGCTCCCACATACTTATTCCAAGAATTTCTATGGAGGAACATGCACTCAACCAGACCCAAAAAATTTAATAAAGAATAAACAATAACACAGGAAAATCTTTCCAAACAACTACCCTCCTCAAACCAATCCCAAACAAAAAGAGCCAGACTACTCTGAAAATTATTTTTAAAATTTTTAGAGCCTCCAACTATTACTAAGTCAACAAAAAGTGAAGGAAGTAATAAATGAAAGTGAAATATCTGAGGATGCAGAAGACCTCAAATTTTGGACAACGCGCCATCACATTATTGCAAGTACATGGCTAATGACACAAATGAAAATTTCCAAATCCAGGATTCCTTTATAGCGCACTTTAGGCAAAGGAAAACATATCACAAAACATGATCTCCAAAACAAAATCTTTGATAGCCCGCATATTATTTATGTTAAAACTTGATAGGAATCATGGAAGAACCTAGCACTAGAAGAAAAATAAAATTAAATTAAATTAAAAAAGTCAATTTGGGATGCAGTAAAGTTTCCCAATAAGCCACTTTTAAGGACGCTCGCTTTTAAATTATAAGGACACATAAAAGCATCAAAGTACTACTAACCTTTCCATTAAATAAGGTCCAGGTTGGCCAGCCAACTTACGGCTTTGGGACATTTTTAAGGGACGTAAATGTTAATTGCTGATAGGACGTTAAAATCTGACCCATAATCTCATATATATTAGGATCCTTCTGTGCATCAGTCTTCCTAATTTTAAAATACAATTGTATGCGTCCCGTAAACTGATATATGTTGAGATACATTAGTGTTACATTACCTGCTAGTATTATTTCAGGACGCCTAAAATGCATCCATTCCAAAGTGTGCTTTATGCTTTCTGTTGGGACGATTATAAGTGGCCTGATCCTGATTTTATCACATTGTAAAAACAACTAGGACTGAAAAACTATTCATATAAGTAAGGATTATCTATATTGTTTCTTTTAGAAATTTTAAAGTCTGCAACTAGCAAGCAATCTTTCAACTAAAGCATTTGGATGTTCTTAGCGATCTAAAAGATGCAACCAAAACTGCCATCGATACTATGTATTGTACAAACTACATATAGGAACACTATACGAAATGTACATAAGTTTATATGATATCATTGCTTTTGGATCATGCGCCGTTATCACTTGCCAATTATCATAAATTTTCCAAGCCACCACATAATATATCTAGAAGGCCCCACATGCTAAACAAAAAGCACGGAAATCCCATAACTTCCTATTCAAATTCGGATATGTCAATATGCTGAGCTTGGGAAAAATGAGAAAAATAAAATCTTTTCCAGACTACCACACAATTAAATATAAAAATGACTGTACATATGCCAGATAAAAAGAGAAAGAAAGTTACTATACATTGGCCCATTCAAAGTTATTCCACTAACTAGTATCATACCAAGACCAAGCTCAAATTCCAGAGCCTTGTGACCTCCACTTCTAATGCAAGCTTACAAAATTCAGGAAAAAAAAAAAGGATGAATGCATCAGAATGAGAAATCTCATCTGACGTACAGAATCATTCAGATAGATGAAAATTCATCCAAGTTGTGCAGTGCACAAGCTTCCCATTGTAAGTTTCTCCACTAAGAGTGTATTAAGACAACTACTAAACGTACAAAGTACAAGGCAGAAATCAATGAGAACAAAACGCTAATACAGTTAAAGCTTCAAATTTTAAGAGTACGCGAACAACATCATAATTAAAAATACATATACTGGTGAAGTTACAAATCACCCTTTAACAAAAGAAATATTGCATAGACTGGATCAATCTATCTCGCCACTATACAGAACACAGCACTTAAAATGCAAAACAGAACACCTCAAAATTCCATATCACAATTTAAAATGATTCGAGCTTAAGATTAGATTTCCTATTGGAGCAAACTTACAATGCAAGAGATAGAACCATCTCGCGAGCAAGTGACCATCCTTCAACTACAGGGATCAACGGCATTCACATCCCAATATCCCATCACACTATTTGGGTCTTAAAATCTATGCTATAACTGCATACAATCAAGAACACAGAATCAAACAATTGAACTACTTAGTGCGAGCCCAATTAACATTTTATCTCCTTGAGGAATGACATGCTCAGGAAATGGCAAGTCAAGTTTTCTTCGTAAAGAAAAAAAAAAATTAAAACGTCCCACAACAAGATATTTTAACATAAAGCTTCATTTTGTAATCGAGGCAGAACAAAAATAACAAAGCGAAAGAATAAACACAATTCAACACAGTAACTTAATCCAGAACCAAATATGAACAAATTACGTATCGTTGGGAATAGAATCACCTGAAATAGCCGTCAGATGGAGAGGATCAACAGAGATGATGAATTTAGAGACAGGAAATGAATCGCCACCGGAATAAGAACAAGAGGAGGCGGCGGCTGAAACTTAAGTTTGCAAAGACTAGGCAATGACATGAAGACTTCATCAACAACGGCCATTTGCCAACGGCGCGAATTTCCGGTCTCCTCCGCTAGCGCCAGTAACGGCGACACTTAGTAGATCTGGTCACCAGAGAAGCAGTCAGTGATGGTTCACACCGGACGGAGACGATGAGACAGAAGGCATTTTGCAGTTTAGGGATTCGTTCAACAAAGAATCCAATTGGGAAATTGAGGGAGCTGATTTGGCTTTTGTTCTCCCTCAAAAATGAATGGGCAAAACAAAAAAAAAAAAGGAGTGGGATGAGAATTTGGGCAAAAATCTTGTGTACAGTCCCGTATGTACGCAGCTGCGTACCAGAAAGAAACTGAATCTGAAATTTTCTTCTTTATACTATATTATACTATTTTTTAAAAAATTCATCACATCTTTTTATCTAAAAAATAATTAAAAGTAGTGTCATGTATATGTTATACCGTGCCAGGATCAAATAATAATTTCTTAATGATTTATTATTATCGGTTTATCATGATCTTACTTGTCTAACTATATCAATTATTAAAATCAAATAAAATGCTAAAGCAATGGGTATGGTGTCCGGCCAAATGGTTCACTTGTTAAAGTTAATCTAAAAACTCAAATAAATACATTATGGTATAGACCTACAATACCAAAACAAACCAAATCTAATAAGGGACACCAATGTGACGCTTATACTGATACTGTTTTAGAATTTTTCTGTTCAGTTCACGTAATCAAACATCTAACTCTACTTTATTAGCTTTGAAAATCATATGTAATAGACTGAGAGGGATATTGTTTGTATTAGTTGAAGAGAATCACACTGTATTTGCAAAAGATAGGTTTATAATGCATATTGTATTGATAACCTAGGTGCTCATTAGACTGTATAAGAGAAAGGGTATTAGTGGTCAATTGATGTTGAAAATTGACTTGAGGAAAGCGTATGATATAGTTGAGTGAGGTTTTGTCGAAGAAATGTTGTTAGGGTTTGGTTTCGTGGAACAACTCCGAATCTGGATTATGGCTTGTGTCACAACCCTCAGTGTCTCTCTGTCACTAAATGGGAACATTTCTGGTTACTTTCAAGTGAAACAAGGGTTACACTAGGGAGATCCTGTTTCCCTGCTTCTTTTTGTTCTGGTAATGGAATATTTAACTAGAAACCTTAAACAAGTAGCTAATGATGAATTTCAGTTTCACCTCGTTTGTAAGCAGTTGAAGTTGACCAACATCTGCTTTGCAAATCATTTGATTATTTTCTGTAAAATTGATCTGTTCAGAAAATTATGATGGTGTTTAATAAGTTCTCGAAAACTACGGGGTTGGTAGCAAATTTGCAGAAATTTTCTATTTATTTTGGGGGGAGGGGGTGAATCAAAAGTTGCAGGTTGAAATCTATAGAATAACTTAGTTTGCAACTGGAACTTTCCCTATGTAGTATCTGGGTGTCTCCCTATCCCCTAAGAAATGGTCGAAAGTTGAATGCCAAGAGATCATTAATAAAATTGTTGCTAGAGTTAAGTGTTGAGTACAAGACATTTGCCTTATGCTAGGAGGTTGTTACTAATCAACTCAGTTTTAATGACTATGCACACTTATTAGGCCGCTATCTTCATAATACCACAAAGTGTGACCACAATGGCGAACAAGATTCGTTGAGAATTCTTGTGGGGAGTTAGAAGTAGAGGTAGGGCTCTCGTCTCTAGTAAACTGGGAGGAGGTATGTAGAAGTAAGAGGATGGGTGGCATGGGGATCAAGGATGCTAAACTATGGAATAAAGCAGCCATAGTGAAGCAAACATGGCACTTAGCTCTAAAAAAAAACTCCTTGTGGGTACATTGGATCCATGGAGTGTATAAAGCAGAATTCTATGTGGGACTGCACTTGAAGAAGGACTCTAGTTGGCAGTGAAAACAAATCTTGAAGATTCAAGATCAAGTCAGTATGGGATTTGAAGGTCATACATGGAAGAATCACAATTTGGGGGAATTACATTGTTACATATGGTTACCAATGGTTTTCTAGAACATGGCAGAGAATGGAAGCAGCTAAATGTATTTAGGATGGTATGACTATACCAAAACATTCCTTTATAGCATGGTTAGTGTGAAGAAAAAGGTTGCTGACTAAAGATAGCTTGCCGATGATGCATATTTTGATTCCTGATGTAAACTGTTTACCGATAATCATGGACCTGAAACAGTAGAACACATGTATTTTTCAATGCCTCTTTGCCAATGAACTAATGATTCTAATTAGTAGTTGGCTAGGTTATAGAAGAATTGTTGCTGATGAAGATCGTTGGAAAGTTTAGATCCTAAAATGCTGGAAAGGGGCTAAACTTAAAGAGGAAGATATTCCTTGCTGCTTTTAATGCATGTATATATCATGTTTGAGAAGAACGTAACAAGAGGCAAATTGAAAGCATGCAAGGAGAGAAGGCTTGCAGACGTGTTCAAGGGGATGCAACAGGAACTCCATGCCAGATTCTTGTGTCAGAAGAAGGCTACCTATTCTGAAAATTAAAAGAAGACTCTTGCAAAAAAGGACATATCTTTTACTGATTAGCTGTTAAAAACTTGTTTTGAGTATAGTGATATAGCTGTTTGGCTGGACAGGAGCATTTGTAACCTAGATATAACTTAATAGAGTTGGTAGCAGGAAGTGGTGTCTAATGAACAGATGTATATAATGCTCACTTTAGTGATTTTGTAAAGAAAATTTACCCTTTTCACCAAAAAAAAAAAGTAATGTAGGTCTAATTATTGTAATTCAAGTTTAGCTCAAATGTTCTGAGAAAAAAAAAAGAAGAAATTCATATATTGATTGTATAAAAAAAAATTATTGTTATGCAGCTCTAAAGAAATAAATTTGCTTCCTATTTTTTGGTAAACTTAAAGCCATATCTCATTGGATTTTACTAATTTTTTAAGAGATAGTTAAAACATCTTAAATTTGGAGGACTTCTATACAATTGCACTAAGTTTTACTTGGAGAATTCATAAGAAAATTACACCTAATATTTTTGTCGATATGACACTCTAGGGATAAATATTTTTTCCTTTCATTGATTTCTCTCTTAGAATATACTATAGATAGACTAATTTAAGCAACTAGATCTTTCTAATGAATCCATTTTACATAGTTTATTTCAATCAAAATTATACCACAATAACTATGTTAACAATCATGTATAAGGTAGGCTAAGATTGATAACTATTATCAGATTATATAGAAACATTTGGGAGTGGACAAGGTAGTATTCCATCCTTCCGTGTTCTATTTGATTCGTTTTAACAGTATGGATAGCAGAGATGAAGCTTTGATAGTGATTGTTAAACCTTGATCGGTAGCTCTAAGAGTGATTGTTAAATATTGGAATCCCCACACTCTAAGTAGAATTGCAAGTACTCTTGGAAATCCTGTCATTACGGATGACCTCACAACATCTAAAGATCGAATTCAATATGCTAGAGACCTATTGGATGTTGAAATACAAGATTTCTTCCTTGTGGCGACCATGTTTGAAGATGAGGATGGTCAAATTAAGGAACAAGATTTTAACCCAATGCTTAGATTGTCAAGGATTTGTCATGGCTCGAAGATTGTTGCAAGAAAACTAATCTAACATCAGTAAGTAGAAATTGCTATTAATCCTCCAAAAACAAAAGCAAATATGAAATGGAGAATTGTGAAGAAAGGGAAAATGGTTATTGTTATTGAAGATGCTTGGGACGCTAATATACATGAGTTTTAAATAGCTCTGTTAAGTAGAAGGAACTAGTTGGAATGTTTTTCTTACATCATTTTAAATTCGCATCTATCGTAGAAACAAAAAATGACAAAGGATAACGGGGTATAGTATATATGAGCAGATGCTGGAGTCATTTTAATCATGATAAGCATCAAAGGGGTAGAATTTACTTGTGTGGGATGGTTCTATTTTAACTGTCATTGTAATAGTTAGTTTTGCTCAAGGTACTTGTTGGATGCAATAAGTCCATTACTCAGTAGGTTTTTTCTTCACTGCCATGTGTACAAGTAGAGATCTAATTTATGGGAAGAACTATTGATATTGCAAAGGTTATGAAGCTTGAATTATAATAGGAAATAATAACAATGTTTCGAATGCGGGTGAAAGAAGGAAATCCTGTAACACTAAATGAAATACATGAGTTTAGAAGGTGTATTGACTTATGTGAATTAGAAATTTGAATAACATGGATACAAGTTCACATGGAGCAACAAACAAGTAGGTGCTGCAAGAATCATAACAAATTTGATCGAATTCTGGTAAACGGAGAATGGGTATGTCAATATGATCAGTCTATTGCTACTATGTTAGCTAAAGGAATCTGATCATACGCCGTACATTGTACAACTGAAGGGTGAGCTGCAGAGGACACCAAAACCTTTCAAGATCTTTAACATGTGTAGCTTGAATCCCCGACTCCTACCTATGGTCCAGCAAAGCTGGGAAGAACTTGTGACGGGAACAAAAATGTGTCAATTAGTGCGAAAATTGAATAGACTTAAGTGATCTTTGAAGCATTAAAATAAGGTGTATAGAGCACAATCACCTTTGTTA